TTCTGGAACACGGTCCACGACTCCACGGGACGATGACTGATTGCTTGCGCAGGGCTTCCACTCCCGCGTTATCCTCTGAGTTTTAATCTCGATCTGCATGGCGAAGCACTTGCGAGATGAGGCAGTTGGTAACTATCCCTTGGGCTTCCATTTCATTCCCTGCTGCCCTTTTCGCCTTTGCGCAGATTGTCTTGATCGCTCACGAGACTCACGAGAGGAGTAGAGTACATAATGATTAACGAAAAAATCAGTCATTGAATGGATGTTTAAATCATACAGGGATAGAGAAAACGTAGTTTTCTTGGTGGAACCATGTTCTTCATCCGGTACTTGTATCTTCCCCGCAGCAATGGTAGGGTAGCTGAGGATGAATATGAAAGGAAAGTGTCGAGATCCAGGATCGAGTATCATCAGTCCCCCGCGCTCCAAGGACCCTCTTTGTGTGTAACTAGGCTCTCCTTTCAGCGGGTGAATTGTGTTACCCCTACCTACAGCAGATGAGCTGCCTCCGCAATCCAACCCATGGCGGCATCGCAATGGGGTGTTTTGGTTTGGATAAACAAAGTCCAGGGGGTGTGATGAGGTGCAAAGAAACGGAGCGGGTTCGTTTCGTTCCTGCATTTTCTTTTTTACCTGCTATTTTCTTCTGCGCGAGTAAACATGGCTTAGTTAGCGGTGCGGGCAGGGTCGGTACTTCCCTACATGTAGATAGATGCCCATCCTATTTTATTTTTTTGATTCCTGCGGGCCAGGGGCTAGAAGAGTTTTTTTCTTCTTCCGTTTCCTTTTCCTTTTCCTTTTCCTTTTCCTTTGTTTCGTTTCGACTTTCTTTGCTAATGGTCCGTTTCATGGAAGGCGTCCCGGGGCACGTTACATGGTTTATTATTAAAATATCATTTCCCTGCACAAGCGTGAAATCAGTGGCTTTGAAGTAACACCGTTTTCGTCAGTGGCTTAGCATAGCCCTACCAGCGACGACGGATGTGCTGCGGCTGGCCGCGGTGTGGCTGTTATTGTCGACTCAAAGGGGAAGAAGGCTAGCTGCTCCTGCTTAGGCCGTCTGTAGTATGCAATGCACGCTATGAATACCAAGGCCCCAGCTTATGTAGGGACGAAACGGACAGAAGGACGGGGGCAGGAAAGTGAGAAAGAGAGCCCAGAGGGTGTGCCCAGCTCAACGATTTGTTTTTTTTCCTTCCCGTCTAAGCAGAAATTTCGCACACTGTGGGGTGTGCGACAGTTGGATCTGAAGAACCATGTTCGCGTGTCATGAGGCAGCATCCGCCTTCCTGGGTGATCGAGGATCTTCGCGTTTCTAGTCGGGTTTGGAAAGATGAAAGTGTTGTTTTTCGTTGAGGGAAAACATAGATATGCAGCTTTTCTAGTTCATACTGATCAATCTTTTCGAGAGTAGTTCATATTACGACATATCATAACTCGGACGATCGTGAGCTAAAAACTTTGGTTTTTAGATAGGTACCATTTGGTACCCGATTTGGGGCCATCATTTTATTGCTACTTGTTTGAACGTCGCAACGCCTCTGACACGTCCACAGAGGATTGATTAGCAGCAAGAGAACACCTCAAAGGTTACGACGTCGTTTTTTGTTGCAGTCACTATTATTGACCCTGACCCGTCCTGGCATCCACACACATGAAGCATACACTTCTTTCCCCCTCTGGTAAGCCAGTCGGGTTGGGAAACGACCAAGAATAGAAGTTACATGAACAATGCGTAGAGTATGTACCGAGTATGTACCTCTACTTATGCGCCCATCCCATTAGCAGTTATATTTTTGTTCCCCGCGAGGTACTTTCTGCATGGGGGGTGTATTTACTGCACCCAGCCCATTTTGTTTTGCACTTGCCGTGCTGATGCTGATGGTTTTGAAGAAGATGGTAGTGGTGGTGGTGGTGGTGGTCAACTAACAGGAACTTTTGCCTAACGTGTGAGGTAGAGCATCCTGTACGGGACGGGTCTCTCTAGGATCCGGAACCCTTCCAAAGATGTTTGGCTGCAAGTTCTATTTGTGCAGCGCTGAATTGAACGTGAAGTCTCCCCGTCGGTTGTTTTCGATACGAAAAGGACGAAAAGGGTGAGATTTGGGATGGTGTGTATGTATGCAGTCCCTAAAGCACAGGCGCTAGATGACGACCGTAAAATGAAGAAATGAAATTTCCCACAAATTTCCTGCCCACCGATTTACATCAGGAAAACCACGAAAAAGGCATGTATTCATTGCGTAGTCGCTTGTCGCCGCCCGCGCTCTTGAGTTACTTGGTCAATCTCTTGCCACTTCGTATGATGGACATTGGAAGAGTCATGAACCAATTCTGGAATACATGTATGCTTTTGTCTGCTACCGTTTCGTTTGTTCTAGCCGGAGGTTCCGCCAAGCTCAAAGGTCGATTTATCCCTTTGCCTCTTTGGTCCAATATAATTTTGGAAATCAAATTATTGACTTTCCCCGGAAGGGTGTGAAACTACTAGGCATTGTCGGATACTAGATGAATCCCCGAGTCCAGGCATCGTCATTTATCAGAAATCTCGTCGATGGATCCCAGCACATAAGTGGAGTTGAAGGCGGAGCAACACGGAGAGGCTAATTTTTTTCTTTCTTGCCCTCTCGTGATGGAATACTAGCTACTCGTAGACGGTAGAGGGGTAAACAAGAAAGTTTGGCGTGAAGCTGGGGGATGAAAAAAAAAAAAAAGAAGGAAAATTGGACCCCGGAAAGCCGTACAGCCGTTGGTCAACCTATCTCTCACCTCCCTTACTCTCAGTGGCGAGACCTTCTCTCCCTTCCCGATATGGTCAAATATTGGACAGGTTTGCCAAGGGACGACTGTTGCGAGTCACAACTGACTTCCCCTCTTGGCATTAACCTGCAGACTGAAGCTATATTTTCCCCTGTTGCTGTTGTCACTTGCGTTGATAGGCCAATAACAGTGACACTAGCAGGGGTTGTCCCGCGCCTGTTCTGAATGCTATATGGCTCACAGCTGTGCCCGGGACCCGTCCAGTAAAAAGGGAGGATTTTTGTCGGGATGACTGGTTGGGGGGTTGAAGAGGGGGCGGGCCTGCTTCCAATGGTGGTAGAGTAGTGGTGGTGGTGCAGGGAGGGAGCACGGTGGGCGAACATTGGGCAGCCAGCGACTTGCAACTCCGCAGCAGAGCGGTAGCAGCGGTCCTGGGTGTGTGGGTGTAAAGTGGTGGTAGTGTGTGTGTGGTGTGGAGGGCTGGTTATGTGATGTGGAGAGGGAGTGTGTGGTGTGGAGCATACCAGTAAGGTCTTGCTGCGCTTCTGCTTGCTGCTGGTACTGCTGCTACTCTGCAGGCTTAGATCCACACCCCTCATCATCCATCTCCGGTCACCACTGTAGTGGTTACAGCGTCCATCTCTTCCTCTATTTTCTTCTCCTACACCTCGCTGGTAACCATCAATTGTCCTTGTTTTAGGTATTACATACAACTAACATTCTTCTCTCTTTGAGGGCTAGATGTTGGCTTTGTGGGCTAAATAGGATGGACATATGAAAAGAAAAATAATAATAGTAGCATAAATAACAATACTGTTTTTGTGATGGAACAAAGAAAGAAAGAAAGAGAAATCACATTTTATAATATTGTGAGGTATGAATATAGTAGGAGATTTGGTATTTGGGTCAGGTTTTAGAGGACGGAAGTTTCGGGTTCAGCTTGTTCGTCACTTCTTTTAGACTTTTGGGCCTATGTAGTCCAAGGCATTTTTTATCACGAAGTCTAGTTCAAGTTAGGGGAAAACTGCCTGCAACTGCAAGTGCAAGTGATGTACCTAACTGCTGCTGCTCGCCCCTCCCTCCCCACCCCTGCCCGCTTGGATCACTTCGCCTGTCAACTAACAGGACAAGACTGGCCAGAAGAGGAGGAGGAGGAGGGAAGGAGGAGTAGACTCTCTCTGGACCGTTCCACAAGACTCAAGTCTCTTTTCTACCCCCTCAACCCAACCACCACCCGTCCTTTCTTCCTTCCTCTCTCCTTCCCCCCAACGCGGTGGACGATAGTGATCGATACATTTTGCACCGGTAGGCGGCAAAAGGTCTGAAGAAATTGTCGCTCTTCTGATAAACCCATCCTGTCACGTTCACGTCTCTTTCTTCTCAAAAGAAGTTCACTCCCCCCATCCCCTTGGTCTACTTCTTCGTTCTCTCCTTCTACTCTCTCTCCTTCCTTCTACTCTTTCCTCGCCCATCCTCCCCCTCTCTAGTCAACCTTTCAATTTAGTGCAGAAAACCCTTCGTCAAATAAATACTTGTCACCGGAGGCAATCGGTCTTTTCACACTCCTCGCCATCACAATACTGGTTTGGTTTTGATAATCAACTCCACGACACAACCCGTCTCTTCGATAGTCCAATATTCCTGCGACTTTCTACCAGTCGACTATTGCGACCCGCGAACTATTAATTTAGGCTTTCGTCGTCGCACTTAACAGAGTTCTTCTACCCAGTTCCCTACAGTCGGTACAACCAATTAGCAGTCGTTCAAGTTCGAAAATAACTTTACGAATCACCACCTACTCATCTCTGTAAAACAAAAAACAAAAAACAAAAAAAACAAGAATCAGTTTTCTATAATCTACAACCCGACGACTTTATTGTCTTAGCTGTTGTTGTTGAATGGGAAGTGTTCATTAGTTCGGAGCTGCAAACTTCGTTCGTGAATCTACGTTCGTCGTAGATCACAGTTGATCGGGAGCCAAGAGCAAAACTGGTAAGTTTAGAGAATAGGAATCCAGTCTCGCCACCAGTTTTCTGCCGCACCGTGGTTGGATCGATGTATCCTGGGCGAATGATGGCTGACGAAATCACCAATCTGTCGAAAAGATTTGATAATCTTTTAAACACGTTTTCTCACCCAACTTCCGCAACATCTAAATTCGATATGCCGAGTTACAACCCCCAGTTGCCGCCTACACCCCAGAGTGCTGGCCGCATTATGGAAATGGTGTCCCTCACTACATGGGCTCCGAATTTCGCCCTTCGGAGAAGGATTATCGGGGTTTCAGCAATGGAGGGGCCTATCAATTCGAAACAACTCCATTCGAGACACGACAGGATTCACACTTTGCTGCACGCCAACAGGCGAACTACCACGGTGTTCCTGCGCCCCCCGGCATCACCCACCCGAATCACTGGTTCGGGTCTCTCGTACAGGCTCCTCAGAAACGGGTGGAACTCCCACCCATTGACGGGGCTTTTGACAGGCAGATGTACCAAGTAAGCAACATTAACAGCTTGTTCTCAAATATCTTTGTTTCTGACCAGAAACAGCAGAGCCATATGCATCAGCGTCGGCAGCAAAGACAAGAGAGGAAACAAGAGCAGACTGCTCGCCCAGCGGAAGAGAAGCCTGTGGGTGGTGTTTCAGCGCACTTGGATTATGACATGGAAGAAATGACCGGGTTTGTTGGTCAGGTATCTCAGCATCTGTATGTTGGCCATTTCCAGACGTTCTCTTTTGAACATGTCACTAACAGTCCCCATAGTGTCAACCACCCCTTGTCCGTTGAGGCCCAGGAACGAGGCCTTACCCGGGATACTCGCAAGTTTGTGTTGCAGATTTTGTCTTCAACAAGACTTCCCAGCTCAACCATCTTGCTTGGTCTTGTCTACTTGAAGGAAAGAGTTTCGATGCCCAACTTCGCCGCTGCTCCAAGGGATTCACTATTCTTCCACCGCATGCTAACCATCGCTCTGCTTCTTGCAAGCAAGTTTCTCGACGATAATACGTTTCAAAACAAGTCTTGGTCCGAGGTGACGGGACTTCCCGTTGCCGACTTGAATGCTTTGGAGAAGACATGGTTGGAGGAGATTGGATGGCACTTGCATGTTGACCCTGAGGGAACTAAGGGTTTCAGCCAGTACAAGTTGATGTGGGATGCTTATCGTAAGAATGGATCAAAGGCACCAGCACCAGCACCAGCTCTTGCTCCAATTAACACCAACATCAGACGCCAGCACCGCAACACTCCGTCAATCGTCTCTCCCGATTCTCAGATGTGGGCCAACACGCCTGAATATCCGATGTCCGGCAGGAAGAGTTATGAGTTGATGACACCAGGGGAAATGTATCCGGAAACTGCATATTACTCTCACCACTCTGATGTGGGCAGCGAGTATATCCCAATTCAACTGCCGCCTCCTCAACCACAGCACCGCCAATACGATAACAGTGGTTACTGGGCTCACATGGAATCACGTATGGAATACTCGGCTGAGTATTCGCCGCCATCTGCTCCTGAAACCGGCCCCCCCACACCTGTCGAATATGCTCATGCCTGGCCCGGCTCTGCTGGGTTTCCTCCTTCGCTATTGAATCCTCCGCACCAATCAGCCACTTACTCAAGGCTGCCACCTCCAATTCCAAGCTACCATCAGCACATGGGACAAACTTGGCGCCCTCCGTTCTGCGGCTACGCTTATGGGCAGCGAACTGAGAATTATTTGATGGCAAGTTTTGGTCAACCCGTCACTGTTTAAATCACATTCATTTCAACAAACCTTCGGAACGTTTTCAGTAGAGTATTTTATTTGTCTCCAAACTTCCCCGATACTCTTTACTTTTATTTCATAATACAAAAAGTTGGTTCCTTTGTCACTTGCCTATACTAGAACCATCCAGTAAGTTCTTGCATTTGGTTTCGCGGTTTTTTTTTTTGTTTATCTAGGTTTCTTTTCTTTCTCTCTGCACGCATATTTCCGCATTATCTTTTTTGTTCATCGGCTGGCTTTACTGCGATTTTTTTTCCTTTGCTTTCATGAAATATAAGTTGGTGGGTAAAATGGTTTGGATATTTTTGAAGGGGAAAAGCGGGTCTCTAAATACAGCGATTGTTTTCTGGGGTGGGGAAGGTACAGAGTATTCAATTTCTTTTTCTTTTTCTTTTTCTTTTTTATTACTTATGATGGGTTCAGGGAAAAGGGCTCATGGTTTGGGGTTGTGCTTTTTTTATTTCATCGCAGTTCTTGTTTCCTTGGTTACTATGGGTTTTCCCTCTATCTCTTTTGTCTCTGGGTTTGAGCCACACTCTAGAGTTGGATTCCGTTTTTTCTCTTCTGCTGATATTTTTTACGATTCCGTTGTTTGGCTTGGTTATTTCTCGGCTTCATAGCTTTTTTTCTCTGGTTTTTTATTATTCGTTTGCGGAGTCTTTATTTGTTGCACTTTGGTTTTGGCTTATGATAATGATTTGCAGGTTGAAGGAGGAGGGGGTTCATTTCTGGGGCGGTTACTTTTTTTGTATGTTCGAATTAATAGGCTGCATCGTCCAGAGACGGACGATGATGGGAGCAGGAGCGGGGAGCGGGCTGGTACAACTTTGCAGGGCAGGGCGCCGGGGCAAAAGTCGAGAGCATTTTCCTCTCCTTTACCTGGCTGGCGCCGCCCAATTCTTTGTTGCTACAATACCGGCCCCCAAGAATTAGGGGTTTTAAATAATCGAACTTTGAATGTTGGAATGGCACAATGTTTGGTGGGCTCCTTATTTTTTTATATTTTTCATTCTTATTGTCTTATTTCAATTCGTAACCCCTCACATTATTTTTTGTCTGGAGAGGGGAGGAGCAATAGTGCAAATTATCATCATCATTACAGGGTTGGTACATATTTTTCATATAGAGTTTGTGGTAAACTCTCGAAGAGGAGGGGCGGACGGCGGCGGGGTCGTTGTGTTTATTACTTTGTTTCCATTATCATTACCTATGGTGGCTTTTTTTCTGTCAGCTTTTTTTCTTTCTTTTCTTTCCCCCTCCCCGCCCTTTTCCCCCCCTGGTCTGGGTGTTCTGGACGCCTCTTTTTCTTCTCCGTCGGACTCCTTCCTCAGCATATATTGGGCGGAAAACAGGGGTCAATTCAACAAGGGAGGGTGGTAGTGCTGCTGGAGTTGCAACGGTTCAACATCCTTTTTCAATTCTCACATGGCTCATGCTTCAGAGAGGCACAAAAGTAGTTTTAACAGCATTGGTGTTTTTTTCTTTTTTCTTTCTCCTTCTTTCGCTCGCCCTCTCTTTCTGTTTGGTTTGGAAGCGGGGAAAAGTGAGGTTTGCGGCGGGGGAAGAGGAGAAGGGAGGAGAGCGAGAGAGGGGATGGAAGCAGCAGCAGCAGGGCAATCAAGCAAGCAGGCAATCAAGCAAGCAAGCAGCACAAACTAAAAGTAAAACAAAAAAACGGAAACGTACCTACTCTTGGTCTGACTTGACTTTTATTATTTCTTTTCACTTATTCGGTCTCTTCAGTTCCAATGGACTACGTGCGGCGTAGATATTTTTGCATCCCCCACATAGCCATTGTTATTGTGTATTTTATGGTATGGTTTTTATTTCGTTTTTTTTTTTTTTTTTTTTTTTTGGGGGGGGGGTGTTATGCAGACATGGAGGGGGTACATATTGTAGTTTTAGAGGGGAGGAGAAGGTGGTCTCCGTCCATCATTCCGATGATAAATTGTCTATCTCTTTATTGTTGTATCTCTGTATGATACTGTACTGTACTTTACTTTAGCTGGGTATCCCTTTATCGAGTCCAGGGGAACGTTCAAAGGGAAATAAGGAGCACGTTTCTCGTGCATCTCTCCGCATGTTGTGCGCTCCTGTACGTGTCTTCGATCGCGCGCGCTCGCATTCGCGTCTGCCCGGCGCTTCGTGGGGGGATAGTTAGTTCCCTTACTCCCCTGCTAGTACTTAACTCTACATGATATGACCTGTGGGGGGGGGGGGGGGGTGCAGTTCGTTCGCCGTTCCCATCTTCGTTCTCGAGGGCTTACATATCTTCAGTAGCACCCCTCTTCGAAGCAGGTAAGATTCTATGCAATTCGCCCCCCCGATCGAGTAACAAAAGTGATCGGCCGAGTCCCTGTTTTCGGCTACTACTCGATTTTTTCTGGGCGGCAACAGCATTGGGTAAATCGCTCAAAGTGATATCATCATCTTTCAATGGATGTGTCCTACATACATGCCTACATACAAGAGAACCACGCCAGTGCCACCTGCACATAACGAAGTCCCCGGGAATTTGTTTAGTCCACGAGAGAAGAGAGTGGAGAAGAAGAGTTGAGTTGGTAGTCGTGCTGATGATGGGGATATCTAGTGGTGGGGAAGAAAAAACTAGAAACAGATCGGGGCTGGCTAGAACCGGGGAGTCAACTAAAGTCAGTAATCGTTCATAGATCGTCACTCGCGCGGGCGAGCTGTCGCCGCCGCCCAAATCGGTTAAGCAGGCGGGAAACAGGGAATTTCTGGAAGTTCCATGGGCGATAGTTTCAACATCTTATTTGGCACCAGGACTGTCGTTTCTCTCGTTTTCTTTTCGCATCTCGATGACTCCTGTCACTCCACACCTCGCCCCCCCGGTTCCTTTTATTTGGGCCATGGGGGGTACATGTTGTTTTGTTTTGTCGGGTTTTTTGTGGTCAATCCGAATGGGATGACCCGGTCCCGGTCCCGGTCCAGATCGCGTCTGGGGTGCGTACGCAGCGAGGTAGGCATAGTACAACACTCATTCGACGGCGATGGTTTGAGTCGGTAGAGCACATACATACGCAGTGTAATTCCTTTTGGTCTGAGTCTGGGGTAATATATCGTAACGATATGGATTCCCCTCTCTCGATACAATCAGTTCAGTATTGTCTCTCCCGATATCATTTCTTCATAGAGAGCTGCGATTGCGGTGTTTACACCTCGCTTTCGTGGTTAAAGTAGATGTGTTGGCCATACCCCTGCGTAGAGGGGTAAGTAAACTTGTAGAGTGCTAGGTGGTGTAGGGTATCTCTGTGAGTCCAAACGATAGATAACTGGGTCTATCAAGGTTCAGATGAAATCTGAAGGGCCTATGGTGACCTGCCTATCGGTTGCCTCCTTAGGCACGACTTACTGGTCGTAACGGCCAACATTCAAACTGCCAACAGGGTGCCGTTCGGAGGCCCTGCATCACCGAAAGGTCCCGATCTCTTTTGAAACTGGGCCGATGTTGAAAATTATAAACCAGTCCAAAGCCGAAAAAGTACACCCGGGACCGAAGCGTGGGAGTGAAGTGAAGGCTGTACCAGTAGACATATATCGTTACGTACCGAAATTAGAGTTCCTATCGGTTGAACAAAAGTGTGTGAGAGCTTCTCGTGAACCAACATCTGGCCGGATACTTATGTGTGATGTGACAACAACACCAAGGCTTGGAGTGATCACTAGCGCTACTAAAGCAGTAGCTATGTAGGTCGCGTCTTCCCCTAAAAGTGGAGGAGCTATTCCGCCTGGAACTTAGATACTAGGAACTCTTTCCACTGCCGCGACCATCAAGACATTGATTGATACTCGTATCTGAGTGGAGTGGGCATGGGGCTAACCGCACTACATCGCAAGAGTTACCTGGCCCGTGCTCCATAGATTCAAAATGGTACATATGCGGAACCAAGCACCAAAGATAGATCTCGCCTAGCCGTCTGCGGGGTTTTCGTAGGTAAATAATTGAAATGGTAGTGTCTCCACGATATTGGCAGCGCCACGAGAAGAAGAAATAGTTTCACAACTGTGGTTGAGTTTAATATCTATGCCATGAGATTCTGTAGGTGCTATGTAAGATACGTCACATGATTAATGTGTGATAAAAACGCCGCTCCTGTGAGGGTCCCCACATACGTTTCTATTTGCATAATAAGCGTCGTGAGAAGAAATCATAAAAGCTTAGACTTCTAGGTAAGGGTATGTGTGTGCTTTTCCTTTCCTTTCCCTTTTTTTTTTGCTTTTGTTCAATGACCGTTCAATCAAATTCAAGGCTCTCAGAGTGATCTTGCAGCTTGAATATTGATGATCAGTGAGCCCTTAGCACACATCTACCCACATTGACGAACCTGCAACATTCGTTAACCGTGGGGAAAATGAAAGACAAGGATCTACCCTTTGTTCCAAGGCCGGGGACGGGAGCTAACCGAGATTGATGATCATTCCTGTGTGTACTGGCAAGTATGTATATGTATGCACCACAAGATGTGATAGCGAATAGGACACCTAGGGACCTGCGACCGCGGTATCTTGTGTGTGACAGTTGAAACCCATATTACACTATCATGTTAAGCTTGTCCCTTATGTACCTTAATGTTAATTATTTGGCTGAAATGTGATGTTCCAATTTGCGGTATCTTGGTCATTGATAAGGGTGGTGGTGATATCTGATGACGCTACAACCTGAGTGATAGATTCCTTTGATAAGGTCACTATTAATGATTTACCAGTAGTATTTCTCTACCTGATTAAACATGGTAAAGAAAATCTATGGAATGGGATAGTAAGTGACCTATATCCTGAGCAAGTAATGAATTAAACAAAAAAAAAAAAAGACCTATATCCTGAAGGCCGGCTCACTGGCTGGAGGTTTCTAACTCAGCCCACCGGAGAATATAAAAAGGTTCGGAAGTATACCCCTAGATAAAGTAAAACACATTATCATATAGAGTTTCGAATTTAAAGTTCTTCATGACGATGCTCTAGTCAAT